CCTTCTTGTTTGCCTTTACAGGAAAATAAAGGTTTCTATTTAAGGGCGGAGAGCTGGTGGCTTGGTGGGCATGTGTTGGGTTGCTAACCTAGCAAGCTCCGCACTTCCAACCATCAGCCGCTGTGAGGCCGGAAGGCAGGCCTTTCTTCTCCCCGAAAGAGTGACAGTCTCAGAACCCACAGATGCACTTCTGGTCTGTCCTAGAGGGTCTTCATGTTCAGAATCAAATCAATGGTGATGCGGTTTTCAGTGTTTGTTTGTATGTTGTATTTACTATAAGTTACCTAGTGAACCACGCTGGAAGGGTATGCCTCCGGAGTTGTGTATTTCATCTGTGAATTAAAGGAATACATTCCTTGTATATCTATTTTAGAGGGATTTCACACAAGCACTGAAGTTGTCAGAGGTTGTGCCAGGCTGAAAGACAGCTTTTAATGCAAATAACATCAATCTCATAAGATTAAAAAAAATGTGAATCCTAATGACAAGTTTTCATATAATACTTAAGTACTTGGAAAGTGCCAACCACCTGATATCCACCCAAGCATGCTTAGCAGTGTAACTGGAGAAATAGGACACAGATGTAAACAGAGCAGAATTATCTCATGTAATAGAAATTGTATGTGACAGCATGGTACAGGTTGTCTATAGGCACTGAAAGAAGACATACAGAAATATCAATGTGTCAAGTGTTAAGCAAGTATTTGTTGAGGAAGAAAAAAATTGAGTGTGTACCAAAGTATGATAGGAATCGAGCTGGTTGTGAAAGAAATGGTGGTGGTGGGGGGATATATTACAAATGAAGCTAAGTAAAGCCGTATGAAAGGGATGAAAAGTCACATCTTGCAAATAGTTGGGAAAAGGCCATTTTACAGGAAAAAAGAACTATTTGGAAGCCTATTTTTAAAATGTCATTTCATGGATGAGTGTGAAATATTTAAAAACCTCATGGTAACAAAACTAAGGCATCAGAAGGGCCATTCACTTAAAATAAATAAAGCCCCCAAGTCCTATTTTTAATATCATTTAAGGATAAGCCTAAATGAAAGGAAAGGAAATTGTCCCCAAAAAAGGATATAGCTATTGGATGAAACACTGGCCATTATTAAACAAAAATACCAAAAAAACATGTAGCTGTTATTTTCTGGCACATCCTCCACCTAGACCTATCTACTTCTGCCAGTGGTGTTTCTAGCTCTCTAACCGTCCCAGGAGAATTCTGCCCTCTTCAACTGACCACACACACTGTCAGTTGGAGCATCCTCGAGGAATGCAAATCACTTCCCTTTTCAACGTGCTCTGAGTGTGGGGAAGAGAGGGAAGTCTGAAAGGACAAGGTCCGGGCTGTAGGGCAGTTGGGGTGAAGTTTCCTAACAAAGTCCTCCTAGGACAGCCCTGGCGACCCCAAGAATGAGCAGGGCAGTGTTATGCTTGAAAACTCCTTTGGTGGACCTTTCCTGGCCCTTCTCTCACTAATGTTGTTCTTCAGTGCCTTAAAACTTCATCCAACCCTTCAGGGCCAACAAGGAGAGTAGAGATACCAGGAGGATTAGAGAAGGGTGAGGGGAGAAAGGGGGAATCAATCATAAGGATTAATCTAGAACCCCTCCCAGAGGGACGGATAACAGAAAAGTGGGTGAGGGGCAACAGAGGACGATGTAAGATATGGAAAAAAATAATCTATAACTTATCTAGGTTCATGAGGGAGGGCAGGCGTTGGTGGGAGGGGGAAGAAATTGGGAGCTGATATCAGGGGCTCAAGTGGGAAGAGAATGCTTTGAAAATGATGATGGCGGCCTATGTGCAAATGTGCTTGACACACTGGATGATTGTATGGATTGTAATAAGAGATGTAAGAGCCCCCAATAAAAGTATTTTTAAATGACTTTAAAAACAAAAAACAAAAAACTTCATCCAAACAAGGTGCCATGACCTTTTTTTATG